AATTTAGCAAAACTGTGGTAGATACACCTCCAAGCTGAAGGTTAGAAGGTGCTGATTCAGCATTTAACTCCTGCTTTCTCCTTTGCCACGAAGTTTTGATAGGAGCCCAGTTCCTCTTCCTAAATTAAAATTCTAGATGGATTTCATCCATAGAGCAATTCCAAGAGGATATATTGTTTTTCTGTATCCCAACTAAACAAACAAACAAAAGGAAATGTTTACCCTGGACCTCAGCAACATGTCTTGGGGAACGCAGCTTGCCACTGTGTGTGCGTTTAAAACCTTGTGATTTCTGCCCTGTTCATACCCTCCCCTCTCCCCTGCCCTTTTCTCTCCATGGACAGACATTAGTTAATTTCACACACGCACGCAGGCACGCACGCACCAACCGAGGTTATCTTCTTTTTGTAGAAGCTCCTGCTCCAAGAATGCAATAGGAAGAATAGGATTTTAACTGACAGGGCCTCCCCCACCACACACACACGCTTTCGTCTTGTCGCCCTTGTCGATTGGGTGCTGGCATGCCCTGCTCAAGCGCGATGGTCTCCAAAGGAGGGGAGAAATGCTGCCAGAGTCTTGGGTGTGTGTCTGGAGAGGCACCAATTACAGCCCTGTGTCATCCAAACAGGCTATCCCAGCCTCAGGCGTAACCACCCATCCCCCCCCCTTCCTTCCTAAGCCGTGGCTTGGTTGCAAAAGCCCTTCTTTGCCAAAACAGCCGTGGAAGAAGAGGCAAAGCTGCCAAGGCAGGTCGTGGCTCCTTCCCCTGGGCCGAATGGACTCTCTGCGCCCATTTCCAAGTGGCTTCCTCCACGGGGCTCACACGGCCAGAGCAGTTCAGTTGGCCTCTGAATCGAAAACAGCATGAAGCATTTGCAAAGTTCTAGTTATGTGTTGTGTGTTCAGGGAGCCAGAAGCAAACCCTTTAAACTCGGTGTCTTTTAAGACCTAAGGAATATGGTGGTACCTTGTTCTAACCTCGGCTTCAGTAAATTGGAGGGACTCGCCGATTGCAATTTCCAAGAGATGCCCGAAGCATCCAGGCTTTCTAAAAATGACGTCGTTTTTCGGCCTACTTCCCACTCAAAGAAAACCTGCACCGTGAAAATGCCTCTCCTTTTAAAAAACGCACACCAAAATAACCCAATATTTTTCTCACGTGACCATCTCACTTTGATTTTGCGGGGGTGGGTGGGACGGGGAAGAGATATTCAGGGTTGCTGTGTTGTCAGGAAAATGCACAGAGAAAAGAGGAGTGCCTCAGACCTTGCGAGGTGTTTCCCGGAGTGCTGGTTAACAATTCCTACTCCTCCAAGTGTTTCTTACTGGACTAGAGTCGCTTTAAAAACGGTGATTTCACAGCTCGCCCTTGCTTCAGAGCAATCCCGTTCACTGCCATCCTCTGGATTACACGGTTTGCGGGCTGCGGTCCCCACTACGGAGCCGTTTAGTTCAGATATGCCTCTTTGTTCACAATCCATCTCTTCCCAAGAATACGTCTTAGTACCCAACAGAGGACCTACCCAGTCCCCACCCCCGAAATACTTGCGTGAAAGTATTCCAGATCTCATTGTACAAACCGCCACAGCTTGGGGCCAAAACAAACAAACAAGCAGAAAAATCTGCCCCCCCCAACCCAAATAAACACCCAAGACAATGGTGACTGGTGTTCCAAGGGCAGCCAGAGGTTTCTCTGCAATTCCAGGTTACTAAGAAAGATATAGAGGTGAAATGTTGTCTCGCTCCTGAAGACAAAGGGAATGTTGGACTATATATCTAGCATTCAGAAGGGAACATGTGTAAATGCCTTTCAGAAAAACCAGGTCTATTGGCTTAAATGATGTAACGCTCAGTTTACAACCCTGCCTTTGAAAAGCGATTGTTTCTACCAGTCCTTACTTGACCACAGTGGTATGTCAGCGCTTATGTGTGTGCGTGTGTATATATTTATACACATGTGTGTATGTGTGTGTATGCACACACACGTGTATCATACATATATATGTAGTGTAGTGTCCTGGTGGTCGTTAATTCTAAATACAACTATGCAACAATAAAAGGAAGCTGGTGGTGTCTGATCCCTGAAAATTGCCGTTCAGTCATTCTCTTGGTGACTTTCGAAATGGACTCTGATTCCCCTCCCGCACTGGATCTGGATGTCAATAAATTTTATCTTCCTGCAGAAAGAAGAGCTATACGTTCATGTTTTGGTTTCAGTTTACATGTGTGAGTGTGTTAGAAGAGTTGTGTTCGAAAATGGCCTTTTTGAAAGTCAGAGATAGCACAGGAAGCGCTGCTCGCTGTGGTTTTTTACAGTTAAGAAGGCTTGAGAGGGGGGGGGGAGTTCATGATTCAGCTGCAAATCTGGTGGGGTTGCAAAAACTTTCCTAAAAGAGTAGAGGCTCTTCCAATAGCGGGAGGACAAAGGGCGGGAATCTACCTTGCTAAATCGCCCTTGCAAACATCAGGCTTGGCCAAATCTCCTCTTAGGGATTCCAACAAAAAGCGTGTTTAAAGAAAATAGGATTGAAGGGGAAATCTGAGGGTGATCACAGCCTTTGTTGATCAAGGATTTATTTTTTTGTCCTGTTTCCTAACGAGAGTAAAATCCAACGATTCATATGCAGGCAAAAATGGTGCAAAATATACATTACTGACAGCACTGTATGTTGCAATTTGTGTGTGTGTGTGTGTGTGTTTGTGTGTGCCTATTCCGATATAATTATTTGCGTTGCCCTGGCTTCCCCCTTCCCTCTCCCCTCTCCTTTTCAATCTGAGGCGGCCTCACAAGCCCCAGCGTTAAAAGGCCCGAGATGTTTTGCATGAAGCTCTCACAATAGGGGTTGAGAGAATTGACAGTTTCAAAAACAAGGCGCCCTGTCCTTTCCAGATGCCGAGACCACCTCCCTCCTCTCCCCCTTCCCTTTTTGCACCTTCTCTCGCTGCTGGTGGCTTTAGGGTGCATTACAAATATATGGCAACTGCTGTGTTTGTAAACAGGGCGAGTGGTAGGGGGAGTTTGCAGGGAGCCAGCAGGGCAGGATTCACCCCCCAATGCGAAAGTGTGCACGCTCGGGCCCCAATGTTCTGCTCCCCAGCGAGGACGAAGCAGGAAGTGGATCTCTGCGAGGCATGGCGGGGTGCAATGGCCGGGCAGGACTGCGAGGCGTTGGGGAGGAGGGGGCTCGGGCCTGTCTTCCCCCTCCCCCGCCGGTTTGGCCCGCAGCAGTGGCCGAGAGCC